CATTGGAGTCGGAATTCCTGGTCTTGGAGGAACATTTATATTCATAGAAGTACAATTTACATAGCTTCAGTGTGCTTTATCTCTCTCGATATCTACTCTGTGTCGTCAGATTCCACAACAGATGACGAAGTTTGATTTAACACTTGGCTGTTTCTGTGGAGATATCGAGAACATTCCCAGCTCAGACTAGTAGTGGATCATAAGAGACCAAATAAAGGGGGAGGGGGTATATTTAGAAATCAAATAAAGGCACAACGGGATCAACAAAAACATCACAATCCAGACCACCCTATGGTCTCTTAACTTAATAGGCGTGGTCTCACGTCTTCAGACGTATCCCACACTTAAGTTAACTTTCAATGCAGATACTTTAGTCGATTTAGTAACAGAAAATTGGAAGGGGTTATTCTGATCCCACCACCCCCTCAAAGCCCTTTTGGATCTGTCTTTGATGTCACATCTGAGACACCCTGAATATAAACATTAAAAACAAAGAGGAATTACCCTTTAGAAATTATCATGTATGAATTAAAAAGCGAGTTTTTCTTGGACAATAATAAAAAGACGGCGGAATGATGTGCAAAATGGCCTACAGTTTTATACGGAGGAAAGGTTTGGATCTATATATAGATTCATTTATTAAAACGTAAAAATTATTGTACAATCGTAGGAACATAAATTCATTTCCGGCGATTAACAAAAATACAACCCCCACATACCGAGTACAGACAAGTTCAGTAGGTACATACACTCCATTACAAAATATATCAACAGGACAGGACATGGGTAGACGGAATATTGCAGCTTATCCGTACTGACGATTACCAAGAAACCGAAATGTCCCTTTCTTTATTCTAGACTAAGTGAATGGAGGCTTACAATAGAATTTTTAATTGAACATCAAACATGAATCCGAAGGTTGTCTATTAATGGGAACCTAAATTGTGGACATATTGCTCAATAATTAATTTCCTAAGAGTAATCCAGACAGTTTACAACAGTGTTCACGTCGAATAAATGTTGTCAGCCATCGATCTAATCCCCCTACTTCACGGAAAACTGCAAAACATTAATAAAGTGTGAATTAAGACTCAATATTACTCTATCAACACAAGACATACATTTTGATATTGTATTTCGCACTAATAAAGTGCTAAAAAGTCCATGCTGACCCTACCACGGATTGTGACGTCAGCAGAATTGGGTGTGTCTTTTTCTGTATGGTATCTTCTGACTGAACGGAAGTGCTTTCTGTCGCACCTAAGAGGTGGGCTGTTACCAATGGAAATAGACCCCCGTCAGTCGATCAAACGACATAGTTGTGAGGGTTGGGCAATTTTTTTTTTTAATTTGTATGGTTGCATTGACGTTATGACACTGAACTGTATCAAAAAAAAAAAAAAAAAAAAAAAAAAAAAAAAAAAAAAAACCAACTAATTTCCAATAAAATTTTATTATTCACAAGGCAGTTGAATTCGTTTTCACAGTTCAACGTGTCACTGTATAACGATTTACAACAGTTTATCGAAATTTCATTCTTCTAATTTGTCTTTGAACTTTTGTAATTATATCAGAACGTTTAAACGAAAAAAAAATGGCTATTACATGATTCTGCGAACAAAATAATCATCCTGTTCCTTTTAACTGTTCAAACGAAATGTTCCGTAACTTTTTGTATATTTCGATAGCGAAAATTACTTGGCAAACAAACTTAATCAAAGTAAATGCGGTTATGATTATTGCGCTATGTTTGTTTTCGTTACGTCCTTTGGAGAATTTTTCACTCATAGGACACCACCTATTGCCGGTGGAAGGTTGCAAAATTAGACTTGTACTCGGCACTTATGGCCATTGATCGTGAGCAGTGAGGGACATTTTTCGTGCCAACTTCTAATGCGAATTGGGATCTCGATGAATACGGTCTCATCCGAAGGACTGGTCCCTACTTCCCACAATGGAATCGAACCTTCCATATAAGGACCAGTTCCTTACTCCGCGACTTTAACTACAATTTAAGCGACCTGGTAATTGCAAAATTTAAAACCTCAGATTGTCATACTGGCGACCCAAGCATCTCTTCATACAAACATGTACAAGGACCAAAATATGCGTGAACATGATAAAAAAAGTTAATGAATGAAATTTATATCAGGTTCAATAAGACCAAAAAGCATGCTTGTTTGAAGCAAGTGAGGCCTATTCATCGTCAGGTGTCACGTGAGGTCATACGAAGTTCGCTGATGAATATTCCTAACATAATTGTTTACCAGCTGATGTCTCCAGATATTTGTCAAAATTAAAGAATATTTTCTCGTTAAAATAATGTTTACATGCATTAACGTTAACCATATTTTAAACTTTAAATATGCACAATTACGGCCCTTATTACTTAACGTATTTTATTTTCTTTTCTTAAGGTGTTATATTAGGATATTTCGGTTCGTAAAACATGCCATTGGCAAAATAATTACCGATTCTCTCCTCCCTATTCGGACATTTCTGCACTAGATTGGGACTGCATTTTTTTTATGAGATAAAAAACTCTATTTAAACTGAACTGTTTTAAAAGATAAACTTATCTCGACTTCGACCGAAAGAAACATGCGTGTCTTCCTAAATAGCTATGTGTTTTTTCTTTTTTATACTCAAATATCTAATAATAATGCTTTACAAGAACTGAAAAGGAATACTTTCAAAGTTTTGTTTTGAATTGAAACCGCCTATTCATTTTTTTTATTAAGAATGTTTATCAACATTTAATATTGTGGTGACATCTTTAAAATTCCAGTATGGGTCGATTCACTTTAAATCTGACTACAGGTAGTTGCACAATGTATTCATACCATGGAGGATTTAGAAAATCATTTCAGTTTTTACAAATATTATAACCTTTTCAAAAGTCTATCATGTGGAATCTTAACTTTTTTCTTTAATTTCACAAAACAATGAAAACAAAATATACAGATCTTGAACAAAGACTGCCTTAATCCGCGGGAAATGGGATTGTTCTTACTATACTTTTAATTAATGTTAATTCCAATTTTTTGATTAACATTTACTTATTCTGAGCCACTTTATTCTAATTCGAAAATACTAAATTAATTACATAAAAATGTCTATGGCTAAGTTTGAGTTTCATTTTTTAAAAAACTGAAGAGTCATACGTACATGTACGTACTGAAGAAAATGTAAAGAAATGGTTTGTATGCTCTATTACGTTAAAACTCTCTTATATTTACAAGTATCTTCGACTCAGCACACCACAAACAAAGATATGAATTCTAATAAGTGCCCAATGTCTATACAAGACTGACTTGTGCTCATCCCAAAATAGTCCATTTGACCACGCATGTGTTCGATTCGTCACAGTAAACTTTTTTTGGTAAACTTCCTGTTGATATAAAGACTGCCTTTAAATAATCTTTCTATTAAATACACTTTTTACACTTTACGTTAAAAATATTTATGACCATTGGCTTCTGAAAAAATGTACTTGTAACCCTGTAGATTTAAATTAAGAGTAAAACATGAAATTTGATTGTTAATAGTGGGGATCAAAGTTAAACACACTGATTTAAAATATTGATCTAAAGTCAGGACGTGAAAGTTATTATTGTATAGATAAAAAGAATTTGTTTCATTTCTCGTTCGTATTTTCAGAAGAAAAACAATTGTTCCAAGAAAATTTCTTCTTATAATGGAGGTAAAAATTTATTTTCATCAAAATAAATACCCGAACAGGATATTTATTTTGATCTGCCGGATTTAAAAAATGAATTGGTTGATGGTTGTGTACGAAACTCGTTAAAAAATACCTGCCACGAAGATAATAAAAATATTTTTAAAAAATTATAAATTGTCAACACTGCTGCAAAATTACTACAGTGTATATAGTATTGGACGTGCGGACGGGCAAGAATATTAAAGAAGTACGTGTAAATTAAATGCTACGCAGAGATGGAAAAGCAGGACAAGTGCTGTCAAACCATGTTGACGTATTTTACATTCATTTCCCAATTTCTCAGATAAACGTAAGGCTTTTTCTTTTGTGGAATATTTTAGGGTCATATCGAGTAATGACAGACGCAAATTCTTTGTCAAGAAAACAAGAAACATATTTACTATTCATAGTTAGCTTAGGGCGACCGACAGGCAGATGAAAAGGGGGAATTGCAAACACGGAACTCCGATCCCGATCCATCGATCCATTTTATAAGTACCATAGAATATTCCAATGTTATTTATAACGCAATAGTAATTGACGAATTGAAAGAAATTTCCATTTATAACAATACAGATTAATGGCAAGAGCATTTGGCGCTTTATGTAACTTTATGACAAGGTTTTTGGGGCCTTAATTGATCCATGTTTGCATTTACTTTTAATGTATTGATTCGCTTGTTTAAAATCTTTTCCGATGACTTCCCATAAAAGCACATCAATGTCCCATATTGTATAATTTATGAACAACTTTTATTAGCAGGGATAATATTCTTTTTCAAAAACAATATTTTTCTTTAAATTTGAATGAAAAATGAAACTTTAAAAACCCGTGTTTCTTTTCGATATATTTAGACATAATCAGCACGAGAGAATCAGTATCCGCTAATTATGTTCGATTTTTAAGAAATTTAAGATACATTTAAGATTTTTTTATGTTTGTTGAGTTTGATTGACTTTTTAACACCTATTAATTCAATTAATTAAATTGATTAATTGAATTAAATTCAATTAATTAGTGTGAATTACGTAGATCAAACTATACTTCATAATTTCTGTCAAAATATCACACATTGTCATTGGTGTTTTCGTGGTATTACAATCAATAGCGAAATATCCCTATAACAATTCCATACATGTACACTGAAGAAACATTTAAGAGGAAAATATGAATAAGTATCTCAAGAAAATATACCGGTTATGAGAAGAAAACCCAGAATCGTTTTTTAAGTTCTGCAGGCTGCAAATCAAATATTAGAACACGAATAAAAAGTACTCACCTTTTATCGTCCAATGTAAACTTTTTAATCCCTTTAGTTTAAAGCATGGCCGCAGTAATTTCTCCGTTTAAACTAATTGTTGCAATTTCGTTACCACAGAAGTTTTGACACGATAGTGAAAGCTCTTAGGCTTGCGTTACTATAGAACGCATACGGATATATTGGCATCGGAAGTAGTAAGTTATAGTCACGTGGTCGATTCCAAGATAGGGGATTACTAATAAAGGTTTCCCGTGGTCTTCTTGTAAGTTGTGTTTTTTAAACTCACTTATAAATGTATATATTTGCTACGTTTCATTTTATGTCGCTTCACGGAAAATAAAATTCCAATAATATTATCATTAAAAAAAACGATTTAGACCTACTCTTTGTCCATTCAGTAAAACGAGTCTGATACTAACGTCACAATGGAGAACCGATATTCCATTCAAAAAAATCTGTGTTTAATCGGCGGGAAGTCTATTAATGAATATGATGTTTGGCTAAGTTATTGACGGCTTCCATGAATAAGACTTCATAGCCCTGCTTTATACCCGATCTGGATGAGGTTGATACCATTTAGAACATGCATCTATGATCGATGAACTCTGAGCTATATTTTCGAGGTAACTAAGTCGAAATTCATTTTCTGAAATTGTGTATGCTTTGAATTGAAATTCTCTCTCTCTCTCTCTCTCTCTCTCTCTCTCTCTCTCTCTCTCTATACTGTAAAAGTGGAATTTATTGCATTGGTTTGATTTCACTATGTTCGCGATCAAAGGATTGTCCGCGAAAGTTAAGAAATCGTGAATATTGTTGACATAGCAATGTAACATTCGATTATCTAAACACTTTTTTTTTTACATTTTGTAACAGAAAAATAGTAAACCACTGAAAACTATTAGGGTACCCAAAGTTAATAACAATGGCGGGTTAAAGTTAGTTACTGGATACTTTTATATTGAATAATTAACTACGCGTTTTGTGAGTTTCTGTCCTCTTAAACTTTTTTTTCAGAAAGCCCTCACCCCTGTTACCCGGAAATCCTATATTTACCCCCTATAAAGTTCAAAGATCTTAATCCATGTATAATAAGTTTATTTTTTTTTTTAACTTTATAATGAGCCGAAACTTTATTTATATCCAGATCGTCATTGGTTGTTAGGTTATTAGTTTAAAGTGCATGCATCAGTTTATATCCATGTTTAAAAAAGAAATATAGATGATAAGAATTGTCATTCATACATACGTGGTCAATAACATTCGTTGTACCTGTTCAAAACCACACTGAGAAATCAAAAAAGAGTTATAAAAATATCTTTTTTTCAACTTTAAGGTCCGTTGCCATGGAAATTTAGCAAACAAATAATCAAAGGTTTTAAGTCTGGTGTAGGATGAAGGCCTACTCCTACTATATAGGAAGATTCGAGAAAATCCATGATCAAAGAATGGCTCAAAACAAAAGAGAATTATCAATATAGCAAAACACTGTTTCTTTGCCTGTCTGACTTCGAAACAGAATTTTCCATTCCTTTAACATAACGGGATGGGGTTCTAATTTTAGATAGGAGATTCACGGAGAATGCAAATTCTAAATACTTATTTGGAGTAAACTAGAAAAACAAATAAACAAACATAACCAAAAATAAACCTACTTAATTGTTTTCCTTTTTATTCAAAAATAAATAAATAAATAAATTTAAAAAAAGTTCCTTTTATGAAAAAAGTAGAGGTGTTTTGAGGATCCCTGGTACCACGTGACGACCGCTGATCAATGATCATGACGTACTTCTACTCACTCTGTTGTTCCATCAATGTTCATGATCTCAGAACTGTGTTCTCATGAAATATATGGAGATAACGAACAGTATTCAAGTTCAGAAGTCCATTACACAATACAAATTTTGGAGCAGAGCAAACCTCTAAAACATCAGAGGTGGGATCAGGTGCCACGGAGGAGTGAGCATCCCCTACCGACCGGTCACGGTCACACCCACCGTGTGCTCCTTGTCATGACTGGGAAATAACGGAAAAATCCGTCGACAATTCAGTGTATAAATAATGGCCTAACAATTAGTATGAAAAACGCCAGTCAGCATTTGACTTAATGATAAATTGTATTTGCTGACAAGGTCATTGTATCTACCATGATAGAACTTACGAAATGACAACTTTGAACGAGACTGCTGATATTCTTGTTTCATCAACTTGTTTGTTAACAACTTACCTCGTTTTAGAAATTGTTCATGCGTAGAGCATGCTCTTGCGTATCGAATCATCTGAGAGATATAAACCCCGTATGCAGGTGATGAAGGTATATTGCTGCATAAGTAATGGAAGTTGACGATTGAAAAGTTAAAGTCATCACGTTTATCATATAGCTTGGTTGTTAGATTACCATTAACGTCTTTTTCTAGTAAAATATCCAAATATGAAACAGATGTGTTAGACTCTGTGGTATCTTTTATTTCAAGCTCACCGGGATATATCGTATCGACATAAGAATGGAAATAACCATTGTTAATTGACAGTACGTCGTCGATATATCTAAATGTCGAGTTGAAGGCCACAGCAAGTGTTTTCTTCCTTTCACGTATAAGATTTTGAACAAATTCTGCTTCATATGATTTCAAAAGTAGATCTGCTAATAAAGGGGCGCAATCAGTATCCATGGAAATTCCAACAGATTGTTGGAAGGCCTGGTCAATCAGAAACTCAAGCATCTTTTTAATATCAACTTCCTGTGTCTACAATCTGAATGTTTCTTAAACAAAATGATTTTGCAAATGACCAATGACAAGGTAAATAAATTTACGAGTTCCATATTTATTAAAAAGGCAGCTGTCAATGATATCAAAAAGCCTGGACTTTAATTTATCTTGGGGAATAGTTGTATATAAAGTTGAAAAATCGTCAGTTTTTATGTTGTTGATTTTGGATAAATTTTGTGATTTCAAATTTTCCAAGAGTTCCTTGGAATTTTTAAGTATCCACATCTGATTTACACCATGTGCAACAACACACAAGGCAAACTATTGTACAATCCGTTACAACTACTGCACTTTGTATCATTTTTTTAACCTTGAAAGAAGGGGAACATTTTTTTTATCAGATTAATTTTTTGGTTTTCACAACAATATGTATGCCAACTTAGTAACGTGAAAATCATTGAAAAAACATCAACCATTCGCTTGATTAGTTAATGTCAAGTTCCTACATAGTCTGTTACGTCAAGGGAGAAAAAAGAACATTCAAATTATTAATGTGTTAAAATGTTAATAAATAAAACCTTTAGTATTAACGCAACATCAAAATCGCATTCATTGGCATTTTCTGACATTCTGAATGAAATGACATGTTTCTGGGATTTAAGAGAACCGCTAGAGACCTGTGCAAGTGAATTAAAAACTATAATTCAGGAAAGAACAAAGCATAATTTTTTTTCCAAAATCTTCATTACTTGTTCGTAAAAAAATTAAAAAGATAAGAAGAAGCAATAAAATTAAATACAGCTTATTCGTGTGATTTCATAGCTTACTAATTAGTGGCCTATATCATTGTTAACTATGTAGCGGCCTATCCCATTGTTAACTATGTAGCGGCCTATCCCCTTATTTACAGTTTAGCGGCCTATCATCTTGTTGACTAATTAGCGGTCTATTCCATTGTTTATTATTTAGCAGCCTATACCATTGTTTACTTTGTAGCGGCCTATCCCATTCTTTACTATTTAGCAGCCTAATATGTTGTTTACTAATTAGCGGTCTACCCCATTGCTAAATCTAGCAGTCTTCGCGTTTAATGTTACATTCTCACAAGATAAACAAAAGAATACTAAAATAAAAGCCATCACCGGTCTAGGTATGTTCCCGTTTTGCACACATTTGATAACTAAGTATAAAACAATAGGTGTGAAATATGTTTTGATAGCAATTATAGTCTGAACTCCTTCTGGGATCTACCTGGAATTATCTGTATTTTACCAATGCATTATGATAAATATTAAAGGGAATACATTAGGAAAATTTTACTTATTCAACCGAAGATGAAGTTAATAGGTTAGACAAATATCCCTGTCGCAGTTCACCCTGTTTCTTTATTTCATAACGATAAAATGAATAAGTAAATGGATTCAATCTTAATTAATAAAAAAAAAAAATAATAAAATAACCCGTCAAGTTAGTATCATGTGAATATAATTATAGTTTTGATTGGTATTTGTGATATTTTTTATGTTTTAAAATATTTTTTTTCAAGAAATAAGTCAAAATATCAAGTGGAAAATTAACATTTTTTTCTTCCTATTCTTTCCGTAGAGTCTCTTTCTCCAAATTCACAACTATGATATAGACTATAGGAATTAAATAATTATCTTACCTGGACAATTTCCCATTTTTCACACATTTTTTCAATACCTAAAATTCAAATGTGTGCAAAACGGGAACAAACTCCGGTCTACGATGGTCACATGGTACCAGGTATCCTATAAACGGTCTACGATGGTCAAATGGTACCAGGTATCCTATAAACGGTCTACGATGGTCACATGGTACATGTACCAGGTATCCTATAAACGGTCTACGATGGTCACATGGTACCAGGTATCCTATAAACGGTCTACGATGGTACCAGGTATCCTATAAACGGTCTACGATGGTCAAATGGTACCAGGTATCCTATAAACGGTCTACGATGGTCACATGGTACCAGGTATCCTATAAACGGTCTACGATGGTCACGAGGTACCAGGTATCCTACAAACGGTCTACGATCGTCTCGTGGTACCAGGTATGCTATATATAAACATTTCCTCTTTTTCTTCATCAACAAGATTTATTTAAATTCTGACAAGATAAATGTATACATGCACACCTTAATTAAATTCTGGTAGTCCACATCTTTACTACGTTCTGCATGGTAGCCCACATCTCTGCTGAATTCTGGTAGACCAGTTCTTTGCTACATTCTGGTAGTCAACATCTTTACCCCAATCTCCGGGTAGCCCACATTTTTACTGAATTTTGAAAATCCACGTCTTCAAGAATTCTGGTAGACAGCATCTTAAACTACATTCTAGTTATCCACATATTTACTACATGTAGGCTCTACTGAATAAGGTAGTCCCCATCTTTACCACTTTTTAGCATCCCACATCTTTACTACGTTCGTTCTGCACTTCTGGTAGCCCACATCTGGTAGCCCACATCTGGTAGCTTATA